AATGACAATGACAATGACAATGACAATGACAATGACAATGACAATGACAATCATAATGACATTTTGAAACCAAAGGCAAAACAAATACATATGTACGTAAACCCGCTCCAGTAGGCATTACAAATATATTTTCCCTAGAAAAAACACTTAAAATTGTCATCTCACGTGAATTTATTTATTTCGAAACATATTTTTATTTATACAGAAAAATGGATGCTTTTTTCAAGAGTTTTAATCGTTCGGTGTTCGGAGATATTAACTCTGATTCACCAGAGGAGCAAAATCCCGCTGATCTAGTCTTGGGCCGCTCGAGAAGAGAAAACCCTTACGAGCAGAATGGGGGCACTGTGATGGCACTGACTGGTCCTGACTTCGTTTTGCTTGCTGCAGACACTCGATTGAGTTGCGAAAGCCACGTCCTGTCGCGGAGGCAGAGCAAACTATTCAAGATGACGCCGACCGCGGTGGTGGGATCCACGGGATGCTGGTGCGACGTCCTCGCGTTGACCAGTATGTTGAGGATGCATGTCCAGTCGTACGAGATGGAGCACAGGCAGACCATCTCGACCGAAGCCCTGGCCCACCTGATATCCGTGTCGATGTACAATCGGCGCTTCTTTCCCTACTTCACGTACACCCTCCTCGCTGGCTTGGACAGTAAGGGCAAGCCGACCGTCTACTATTACGATCCCGTTGGGCACTATGAGTGCGTCCGTTATCGTGCGGTTGGCACCTCGTTGGCTATTCTGCAGCCCTGCTTGGACCAGTTCTACGGCTGGGAGAACTGCCGACTCTCGCTTCCACTAAAGAATGATAACCTGACCATGACAGAAGCCTTGGATATGGCACGTAAGTGCTTGCGCATTGGTGCCGATCGGGATACTTTTACGGGCGATAAGGGCGAGCTCCTGAGCATCACCAGCCAGGGCATGAAGTACAGCACCATGGACCTGCGCGGTGATTAACCGTCCTTTCAGTGAATGTTCTAAATTTTTTGCTTTTAGTGTATGAATTCTATAACGGTTGTGTATATATTTGCAATTTATTTGATGTACCATTAAAATATTTAGATGCGCAATAGACTCACTCGTAATGCTTTCTCTCAACTCAACTCTCAGAGGGATGAAATCCTCCTCAAGCTGTTATGCATATATCGCTTTATAGAGCGAGCAAGCAAGAGTAATACTATGTTCGATAACTATTTGACGACAGCTAAGCAAGTTATCGATAATACGCGCTGCAACGCTGCCAATTATTAAGCAGAAATTCGATCTCATCTCAGTCAGCTCAGGATAACAGCTCATTAATTGGCCTGGGCTGACATGCAATTTGACCCGTGTCGTTTATTTTCCCTGGCGCCTCTCTGAAGTGCTGAGCTCACACCTGAACCTGAGCTCGAGGCCGGCACTGAGCCGAATCATTCGATATGAGTCCTTGGGCTTGCATCATTGATTGGATGTCACTTGAGTGATGTGCTTTAATGATGGCATAGAGAGCTCTTTAAAGTGAAGCCAGAAGCACAGCAACATCTACATATATCAAGCTTTATATTATTGATATCAATTTGGCAATTGCTGCCGTTTGGCCAGCCTATAATTAAATTCAAAAGTGAGAGAAGGAGAGCCAAAAAGTAAGTTTGCCTGACAGAGGGAGTGGGAGGGGGGGATTGGAGCAATGCAAATTGAGGCATCGATTCGAGTGGCCTACCAGCAATATCCGTCTTTTCATCTGCAGCATCAGCTGCACACACATCCGCATTCACATCCGCATCCGCATCTGCATCTGCATCCGCAGCTATGTATGTATCTGTGCTTTAGCCTCTGGCTTGGCTGCGCTTGCATTGCGTTTAATATTGAAATTGGGTTAATGAGTTTTTGTTTATGGGCTGCACGGCGATACCTAGCCACGCCCACATGCAGCTGGCATCCATATCCGCATCCGCATCCGCAACCGTATCCGCAAGCGCGTTCACTTTAGCATTCGCTTTGTGCTCCTTCGCCATGCTAATGTAAATTTGTTGAGCTCTATGTGTGTGTGCGTGTGTGTGTGTGTGTATCAACTGGGCGCTTCGCTGCCTGGGCGTGGCATAAGCGAGTGTCACATCAGCCACATTGGCAGCAGCAGCGGCAGCGGCAGCGACAACGACAGCGACAACGACAACGACAGCGACAGCTCCTTTGCCTTTCGTAATGAAAACAATTTCCAGCTCTCAACTAAACGTGGAGGACACCCAACTAAAGGTGATGAAAGGCGGAACAGAGGGGGCGTGGAAGGGCGCAACGGCGGAGCGGTGGCTGACACAACTCATCCAACAAAGGCTTAATGTTAATTAAGTGGCTAACAGTCTGTCAGTCAGGGCTGCCTGTGTAGAGTTCACCTCCACCGAAACTCGATCCTGTGGCACCCCGCCCCCTCTGGCGACCGCGTATCGATTAAAATGCCGCAAACCGCAAAATTTGCTTTACAAAACTTTTTTCATTAAACTAATTAAATTGTTTATTAAACTAAATATTTAATCACCGGCGCCGAGCGCATTAATTATTCAAGCGACACTCAAATTCCGTGTGGCAAACGAAAAACTACATTCGCCCAGCTACCCCCAGATAGTCGACGGGGATTTTCGTGTTGACAAAGCTTTACTCTAGCTGTTAAATAACTCTCACAATATTGCCCATAAACAATCGGATTGTTCTAGCGGGAGTCTTGGAGAACTTGGAACTGACTCTCAAGTTAACTCACATCAAATTGCAAATAAAATTCGAGTTTAACAAGACTTCACATAATTATTTAACTTTCTGCTGTGCTAGATGTTTAAATTTATCTCGCACTGAGCCTCTTGAAACTTTCATGTCAATGGCAGCATAAAAACAAAAGTTATTTAATGCTAACCGAGGCGTGTGCGCAGTGATGGACTGGCAAATACCCTGTCTTTGGTGTGGGCAAGCAAAGGAGTGCAGCTACTCGAGATCGAATCTCTTTATAGTCAAAATGTGAAACTTGAAGATGCTATATATAATATGTGAGGCATATAATTGTTATCGATAATTATCGATTATATATAAAATATATGATTAGGCAGGCTAAATTCTCTAGGTGAAGTAAAATCATGACTGTTAGCTTTAAACTCAACTATTTATAAAGATTGAGCACATACCTTACAGGAGTCTAATATATGCCATCTTATATAGAGGGTATACCCTCTAAAAATTATGAGTGAGGTTCAGAGTAATCCAAATTGAAGCATACATATATGTACAGTCGAGTCCCGATAATTTATACCCCGATAAATCGAAAGACAAAACTAAATTCCCTAGGAAAAAATCGATTTCGATAATTCTCTATGGTTTTAATTTCAGTGTAAATCGAAAGGGAAACTGATCCCCTTGGGATTTCCAACTATCGGAACTCTACTGTGTATAACACCTCCACTTATATATTATTTATATTTTCTGCAGGGCATCTGCTGGTCGTGCATACCCCGCACAGCCATGCACTTGTTTGCACAGCATAATAAAATTATGAAATGCATTTTCAATGTAGATTTGCTTTGACCCTCGCCTACACAAATATTTGCTGGCCATGCAATCACCGGCCACGCCCCCCGCCCGCTTGCAGTCGCCTGCGCCAGCATCTAGTTCGATGTGGGAACTTATTAGGGCGTAAAATTCAATTAATGACCACAACGGGATTTATTATATGTATGTATGTATGCATGTATATTTGTTTGTTTGTTTGTTTGCTTTGCCCGGCTTTGTTGCTGTTGTTGCTCAGCTTTTTGTGCGAAGCCTTCGATTCGCGACAGCTAATAAATAATGCGCAAATTATTCAGATTGTTAATGGGTCGCTGCTGCTGGTGGATGCTGTTGCTGCTGCTGCTGGTGCTATTGCTGTTGCTGCCTGCAACAGTTGCTGTCATAATTATGATTTAGTTGGCCATTTGTAATTGCAGCTGCTGCCAACTGCCAGCCATTCAGGCAGCTAAATGTTATTTTTCCAACTCTCCGCTTGTTTTCCTTTCCACGTTTGCCCCCTTTTTTTCCCCTCTTTCGTGCACTACTTTCCCTAATTACTACAGGTCAGACTCGCTGTAATTTTGAAACACTTTTGACCCACTTTCCGGACAGCTGCCCTGGCGACTTGCTGTCTTCGCAGCGGCGCCAGATTCATTTCTAGCTCACATCTCACAAACTTTCTATAGGTGAATTCGAAAATAGTTTCTCATATTAATTATTTTTTCAAAAGCCTGCGAAGCTGAAATATTCATTCGGCATATCAAATGTGCTTAAAAAGTTTGCTTAATCTAGAACTTTGCCTAAATTTGTATGGTAGATGTGCTCTAAGTCCTGTAGAAGCTAAGGAATCTGAATGACAGAATATAAACATAGTCGATCATGACAGAGTATCTGCTAGTCGAGCACTCTTGACTAGAGTATCTCTACTACTTCATTCCGGGTAAGGTATCGCAATATATCATATATTGAGCGCAGAATCCAATTTAGTTAATGTCAAGTAGAAATATCGATTGTTATCGATAAGCACTTGACATAAAGCTTGTCAATATTCATGGTAATTGTGAAAATTTCAAGATTCTAACTTGTCTAGTAAATGGACAACAGCACATAGCTTGGTCAAGATTATATATGTTTGCACAAAATGCCATAGGTAGATCAAGATGATAGATCATTTCGATTACATATGAACGCAAACAATGGCATGGCTAGATCAAGATATTATATACGATCAAGAGATGATATATTCAGATAATATATTCAGATATAATATTATTCAGATAACACATTCTCTTCGTTCCACATTTACTTTCAATCAATATATCAATCAATTTACCCCGCTTTTCCTTCCCCAATGACCTGAACTAACAAGAGAGTAGAGTAGTTTAGAGTATACTAAACACTAACTAAAATAAATTCGCCTCTTGCTTGCTTTCACCTCATTATTCAATTAGGCTGGCAAGTGCCAATGGTATTTAGTTACATCCAACCGCACTTACAATACCGCTAAATAATGTTAAACAAAAAAAAATATAATCAATTATGGTCTTTAATTAATATAGCAAATATAACGAAATCATTAACAGACTATGGAAATATGAAACTAATCGTGAAATAAATAACAAAAATAATATATATAGCCCGAGGGACAGTGGGTACACAAGAGTATTACTATTATTATTTAACTATTTTCCTTTTTTTTATATTTTTAGAGTTCTGCTAACTTTAGTGACAACTTAATCTAGCTTTGCTCGGATAATAAACAACTGTGTATTAATTTAAAATATATGAGCATAGATTTAAAATTTTTGGATTATACATAATTTACAGTTTGACAGCCACAATGCATATTTCATTGACAGTTTGAGAGCATCGAGAAACTATTCAAATAATCAAGCAGACCATTGAAGGATTTTTGAGCTTGCTTTAGTCATGTGCAAAGGCAACAGGACGAGGCTTAAGCGACAAGTCTCATAGTCATACCCCCCTACACAAATACCCTGTATCTATGTCTATGGGGATAGAAGTTACATAGCTTGCAAAAAGTTTGCTTCCATGGGAAGTCAATAGAAATTCTTGACAGATAGAAATTCTTGAAACGAAAACATGGGATCTCGATGAGAGTGAAAGACTAATGGATACCCAGTATATTCCATACAGGGCACCCATTAGTTCTTATGCCATGCCTGATAACGTTAAGTTGTAGGCCGAGTCGGCTATTCGCACTTAGACAATAATTTCATTCATAAAATTCAATAGTTTCAAGTTTGTTGGCATGCGTAGAGTATAGCCCTAGTCGGCTATGCTCATGTCAGCCAGCATTTTAATTGTTTTTTCCAGCATGAGCTGGAACATCATTTAAGTTGAGCTTCGAACAGGGCAATCAGCAGGAACTGCAGTTCTTTGGAGCTTAGTGAAGCCAAGCGAACGGAAAGAACGAAAGAAGTAGCGAAGGG